CAGATGATGGTTGGTCATCTAGTTTAAAGCGGATGCCACCTTTTAACCGTGCAGAAATGGATGCACATATTACAAAATCTGGCAAAATTATCGATCCTCAAAGTAAAGGGCATTCTCTTCCAACTGGGCTTACAAAAGCGAAAACGTTTTTGGCGGACGAGTATCTGAAAGAGATAAAGGCTGCAAGCGACAATGGGTACTTTTATTTTAAATCGCTATGTCATCATAGCTTTAGAAAAAATGAACCTCCACACAAATTGAAAATAGCTCTTGATCTTATAACCGCTGAAGTCATAGAAGCATGTTGCACTTGTGTAGCTGGCAAAGTGGGAATTTGTAATCATGTTTTAGCTCTGATGCTTAAGCTTTGTAAATTTTCATTATATGCATGCAATGATATTAAGGATCTGGACTCAGAGGATGATGTGAATCCTCATGTTGCCTGCACCTCCAATCTTCAAGTATGGCACAAAACGGGAYGAGGTGATAAGATAACACCAAAGCCAATCATGGAAGTCATGGTTAAGAAACCCAAATTAGATGATTCCACAGCAAATAGACCAGGGTTGAAATGTCTTTTATATGAGGCCCGAGGTAACCTAAAATCTCAGTTGAAAGACGAAAAGAATTTAAAAGCTGACCTGATGGCCATTAACCCTAACATGCCTTTAGCTCAAATCCTGGATACAACTGCAACCCCTGAATTGAAAGAAACAAAATTTGGCAAAAGTCCCTCTGGTTCCATTGCAAGCTACCAACTTCAATTCACAGAGTCAAATTTTAAAGTGTTTTGTGATTTGGAATCCATACCAACCATTATACATGAAGATATGAGAGATCTTCCTACAGAATACCCTAAATTCCCAYTTAACCCAACTGAGCCATACAAATTACCAGACCACCTTGAACAAAAGGAAGTCAACTTACTTACTTACCTCTTGGTTGATGCAGATAAATTAAATGACATTGAGAAAAAAACTCGTAGCCAATCCACATCAAATGAATGGAAAAATGAGCGAAGATTTAGATTTACTGCATCTAATTTCAAGAAAATCTACATTAGACAAAGAAATCATGAGTCACTTGTAAACAGTTTGATCAATCCCACCCCAATTCATTCATATTACCTTGAACATGGTAAAAGATATGAGCCTATTGCTTTAAGGCAATATCAAAGATATATGTACTCAATTAGAAGACCTGTGGTGTTATTCAAATCAGGCCTAGTTGTAGATATGGATGCACCTTATCTTGGGGCTTCTCCGGAWGGCAAAGTAATTGAAGTAACTTGTGGAGATCAGCATGGTTTAGTAGAGATCAAGTGCCCCCACACAAAATTCCATGTGACTCCCCTGGAGGCATGTTCAGACAAAACTTTCTGTTGTGAGGAAGTTGATGGGAAGCCAAGGCTCAAGGAGAACCATGAATATCATTACCAGGTGCAAGGACAAATGGGAGTAAGCAAGGTGAAGTGGTGTGACTTTGTCATATATACTAATGTAGGAATGAGCATTCAAAGAATCCCATTCAATGATCAGTTCTGGGACACAGTTAAAGACAAAATGACAGGGTACTTTTTTAACAAGTTTATTAAAACAGCAGCTGAAGAATTTTGCAAATTAAGAAATGATTAGGACTGTAATTGGACATTTCAGTATTGTTCAAATATTTAAAATCAATTTAACATTTCAAGGGCTTTCATATTGTCAATGGTTTATTACTCCAATTATGAATTAGTTTTACTTCAAGTTTAATTTACTGTTCAAATTATGATACTTGAAGAATAGCCCAAATGGGGGCCAAAGAAATGAAAGGAAATGCAAAGGAATGAAAGAAACTAGGATGCTGTAATCCCAACAATATRCAACTGTAATAGCATGACTGTTTTGTATTCTATGAACTTACATGGGATACAATAAGTATCAATACCTCATAATTACAATATTTCATTGTAAGTTCATAATAGTAATTTGTTTGTTTCTTTTTGCATCTGGACTTTAATAAAGTATCACAATTAGTAGTTATTATCGTCATCATTTCTATTTAGCTAAATAAAATGAAAGACTAGTTTACTTGACATTGGTACACTCACTGGTGTCATTGGCAAAARTGAATAGTTATCTCATGATTTTGTGTTGATTACCTACCAGATCAGTACATTTAAAGTGATATCTATTTCACACATATTGTGAMTGACACTATTGGCTAAAATATTTTTGTATTATAATCAATGTTATTACACTTTAGGCCTACAGTAGTTTATACATCAAATATCAATTATAATAATATATTATAATATAATATATATCATATATCAAGTGTAATTACCACCAAAGAAGACAACCTATCATCAGTTTGTGATGCATTTGGCACATATGTCTACATTGGAAATTTGATGTATAAACTATACCCTACTCTTTCTTGATTATGAAACACAGTCTACTAGACTGAAATAAGAGGATTACGGGCATTACACAGGAATGCACACACAGTCCACATTTGATTAACCAGTCCTATTAAACTCAGTGGTACTTCGCCATCCCAAATGTGGTAGTTCTTGATCAAGTTAATTGCCCTCTCTATATGGATGCGCACACTAGCAATTTGCTGGGTTTCAATTACATCTTCCTTTGACATTTGAGCCTCTTCTCCAAGAAATGGGGGGTAGTTAATGGTCACTCCTAAGGGAAGAATATCACCAATAGTGAAACCCTTATCTGCCATCACTGAATCTCCATCATCAAACTTTAAATCCAAAAGCCCACTTCTTGTAACAATCTCTCGATCTGATATGCTTCCTGTGTAAAGTTGACTGATGAACGTGATGGCACCATTTGGCGCAATACCAATCAGAGCTTTGAAGGTAACATGATTCTTGTAAGARCTAAATAGTTCAGAGTTAAGCAGCAGTCCACTTGGCATTTGACAACGGATTTCAGTACAGTCAATGATGRCCCTTGTCTTAGGGTACTTCTCCTTAAAGATTTCTGGCATTTGTTTATTTACAATTTCCCTGGATGGCCAAATATTAATTTGTGCAAACTTTAAATACATATAATTTATATATGTTCCAAACAATCTACTGACTGTTGACTGGGAGACTCCAAAAAGGTGAGCTAAATGCAGCTCAGCAAATCCCCTTCTCAGTCTACATAGTGCAAGGAAAAATTCATCAATGACTGTCAGTTTTCTCGGTCTGCCAGATTTTGTTTTCGTAGTGTTTTCAGATAACTCATCCTCCTCTTCATCTTCCTGGTTTTCATAGAAGTCAGCAGTAGCATCCTTGTTCTTAGTTGAGTAATACCTCACATTTTCCCCTTTGTCTCCAGTGTTCAAAAACTTAAATATTGACAAGAATGTCTTATAGTTAGGTAAACCTGTATAAAAAGCTATGTTTTCATCTGACTTGAAATTATCTAGCTTAAAAAGCTTGGTTTCTGCATCACTTAACTTGTTCTCGAGCAGCTGGCATTTCTTTTCCAGTTCCTCTTTCTCAGCTTCACGGTAAAACACAGTCTCCAGAGCATCACCACGCTCTGACTGGAGTTCAGCCATTATCTTCTTGTTGGTTTCTAGCAGTCGGCGATTTTCGATTTGAAGTTCGATAAACTGACTTTGGATGTCCGATAWTTGCTTTTCTAATTTTTCTTTGTCTATTTTGGCTTCRATAAGCAATTCTTCTACTGTGGGCTCACAAATATGATCCACAGACTCTCTAGTCGAAGCTTCTAGATCTGGTTCGATGGCTGTTGAGGGATGTGGAGGTGTTTGACGATTAGTTGGCGACTTTCTCTTTCGTGGAGACTGAACAGACCACGCAAATTTTGATGGAATGCTTCCTGGCTTTAGTTTAACAATTCCATTAAGCGATTTCTTCATGTCCGTGGTTTTAAAATGTCTTGAACAGACTTTAGTGCGACTAGTCAGTTGAAAATCCTTTCCTGGGACTCTTCGTATCAAGTGAATCCATTTCTTACGTAAAATTGCATCCTTTGGAAAGTTGAAGAAAGAAATTTTATTTCCTTCTGCATCCCGGTGGCCCTTGAAAGTGCACTCAGGCACACAGCAGTGCGAAGGCATTGAAAACCACAAAAAAATAAGCAAAAATGCTGGCGAAATATTACAAGAACACAGTGCTTCGAGCTCTTGCTGTAAACAAACGAGGGCTGACCGACCTCGCTTTCGTGCAAACTCGTGTCCAGGCTCCTCGTTTACATTTTCGTTTTGCAAAGCGTGTATTGCGCCATTTGTGTGTCGATTTTTTTCGACGTGTTACGCGGGAACAACTTTTCGTGCAACATTTACTTTAGTATTCAGTCCACGCGCTGCCAACTCATTCACGGCTATCTTTTTTCTTCTTTTCTTGCTTTCATCATTTTTTATCAACTACAAAAGTTTTATCTTGTCTGTTTCAGTAGGTTTTTAGACAAATGTTGCAGTTGCTGTACTCTTTAAACTTGCTTCTTCTACAGTCGGCGCCATTTTTTGCGCGTCAAATCGGCGATGGAAATGTTACACACGTCGATTTGCTGAAAATTCGTCATCTTGTGTTGCAAGTTTTTGAAGCCAGATCAAAAACTTGCAACGTGTTGCAGAGTGAAAATTGCGCTTAGTTACACAACAACGACTTTTCGTGCAAGTGTTGCGCAAAAAATCGGCGTTACAAGTTGATCCGTGTAATACCTTTAAAAAAAATGTTTTTAGATGGCAAAGCTAGCGAGGGGGCCTGGATCGGTTTAAGTGACATCCAAGTAGAAAACCAAATCAAGTGGTCAGATGGAACACCGCTGACCTACCAGCCTAATAACGACTTGTCCAACACACACGATAAGGATTGTGGAAATATCAATTGGAGCAATACGAGAAGCGAATGGACTATGAGCTTTTGTGAGAAAAAGTTGCCCTTCATCTGTGAATTCCATGACAACAGGTAAATGAGTCGAGAACCAAACCCCCGACCCCAGTCATGAGCTACACAATAAGAGACCCCGTCTGCAACTACTCGCTTGCCACAACCCACATCGGTGCCAGGTTTTTTATTTTTGTCTTTGTCTTTTTTATTTTTCTTAGGAATGGTTGAAACCATCAACTTCTTGACCAGAAAAGCACTGTAGAAAGCTGAAAACTAATTAATGCGGACACAAACTGCTTTTCTTCTTTAGAACACTTTTGTGTTTTACTTTCTGTGCATGACCTGAATGACTTCCAGGCATCTGGGTTTGATTTTTGGCTTCTGTCAATCGCAGAAATTCAAATGTTTTGCAACGCGATTGTGAGGAAGTTTAGACAACGTCATATTGGAAGTTATTTTACCATTGTAGTGCAAACTTCTCTTCCTCTTCAAGGGGAATCGAGGGGTTGCGTCGGTAAATGAAGAAAGAGAGAGAAGAGAAGGGACTGAAGGGGTGAGGAAGAGAAAAAGGAGCACTCTCTTGTCCCTTGTTAATTGCGGCTTGATGCTGTAAAATATCATTTTTAGATGGCAAAGCTATCGAAGGAGCCTCTGTTGGGTTGAATGACATCCAGGCAGAAAACCAAATCAAGTGGTCAGATGGAACACTGCTGACCTACCAGCCTAATAACGACTTGTCCAACACAGATGATAGTGCAGATGGCAGTGCCGTGATACGATTGTATGAACTTACTTTGCTTACTTCAAATGAACATATACTTGCTAAATCCTAGAAAGTAACTTAGTGCAACGTTTGTAAGCAGACAACATAGGAAGACTGCTTATCATTTCAATATTGATTAACTAACATCTTAATAGGTAAGCAAGAGTGTGACATTTGCATATATTTCAGGCCCCTCACAATAACTCATTCACAAGTTTAAAAGGAAAAGGAAAAGCAAAGGAATATTGGTGTTGCAAGATATTTAGAAAATAAGTTAAGTATGCAACTGTAATGCTAAAGAACAAAAGAACAAATAATTTCTGAAATTGTTTTATTTCATATGATTTGCTTGTTTAATTAAGCAATAAGAGCAGAAGCAGTAGAAGACTCACTGAAATAAAAATAAACAATTCTCTGATTAATGTAAAACCCTTTTCACCTATGAAAACAAGCTTTTTGGTTGTTTTCCATAAAAAATTTACTTATTGTAATAATACGTGCATTGGTTACTAGTAAACTAACTTATTTAGGTAGGTGAAATACTTACTACTTCCAGTTAGGTGGCAGGACTCTCTTGGTTTTGTAGTATCGAGCAAGACGGTGGATTCTACTCTCAATTAAAATTAGTCTGAATTTGGAATCTTTATCCTGTTATCAATAAAGAAGAAAATCATCATGAGTTGAAAAAAAAGATAACTCAAAAACCTTGATGAATGAATGAAACTTTATTGCAATGTCTACTTTCTAGAAGTACACAGATGGGTGGTGTACACCACTAATGGGCAACACTGTAACTAAGACTATAACTTACATATGAATAAACACTTAGAAATGTCTGGCGGTCAAGAAATAAATGGTTATACTGTAGACATACCTTGCGATTCCTCTCCAGATGTTTTCTGACTGAAACAGCCTTTTTGATCAGGTAATACAGATCCTCAGGGAGACTTGCAGCAAGACCTATGATATTAGGATAGGCACAGCATCAATAAACATTACAAAATAAATTATGATCAAAACATTTATATTTACCAAGAGTGGCTTCAGTGATCATAAATACTTATTATACATACTTGGGATACAAATAACACATTAAAAATGTTACTTTTAAGCTTCGAATACAACAGGAAAACCATTCCTGTAAAGCTTTATCCTAAATATTAATGCATTACTATATATAAAAAAATATATCATGATAAGATACCTTTAGCTTTCAAGATCCTAAGAATCTTGTTTCCAGTGATGTAACGTACTTGAGCAACACCATGAGAGTCACGCAGTATCACGCCTGTAAACAACATTCAACAGTGAATTACAACACGATACACAATAGCTTCATCTTGTTATTACCAACCAACATTAATATGTAAAAATTGCAAATGTAGATAAACTACTTTTCATAAGTGGAGGAAAATGACTTTAGTAGTACTAAAAGGGTTTTTATCCAAAATTTTTCTCTGATATTTAAGCCTAAAATTATACTACAACAATAATTGACCTAAGGCTCAGTGATTATGTTGAATATTTACCTTGCGTCTCAAAGACTCTCCACTCGATAAATATTCACTAATAATCACTTTGCTTGTTAAATAGTAACCTCATTCGTATGTTATATACACTTACCAATCTGGGATGGAGTTAATCCCTTTTTGGCCAATTTGTAGATTTGTTCTTTTACATCTTCTGATGTAAGTTTCATCCACTATAATTAAGACCCACAATTAACAATAAATATAAGCTTACTGATAAAATGATAGACACCCTTGAATAGATTCTGAACTCAAATGGATTTTTCAACTCAGTGAACTCCTTAAGCAACTTTGCTACATTTTAATCACACATTAAAATATCTCTCGGTTCTATTCTACGCATAATTGGAATCAAACTGATATTCCGGTAAAATATTAAAAAAAATTGCTTCAATAATTCCTTTGACATCATACATACCGTTGGGACACTACGGCGATAGGGCAAAGCCGAACCAGAGATACCCTTTCTACGAGAAAATACAAAAAAAGTACCGTTAAATCTATCGAGTTGAGAACCCTTTAGTAACACATGGTTTTTTACTCCGTATTCAAGCCTCACTTTAAACTCAAAATAACTGCTTTCAAACATAAAGATAGTTTAACTAAATAGACAAAACAGTTTATTGATAGATTTAAGAAACTATCCACATACCCGGGTGCATGCATACGACCCATCCTGGTAGGTTTTTAAGTCAAATATTCTTCACTACCAAACCTTGATGTTGGTTTTCAAGATGGCGACAAGAAAGAGGCTGCATTCACGTGTCTGGAGACCTTTACTCCCACAATACCTTGCGGTTGTACACCAGGCTCTCACCCAGTTCACTACAGGGAACCCAATACCATATCATACCAAACTAAAACCCGGCTATCAAAAGACRAATAAATACCAAGAAGCTAACTGGGGATAAATGAAATGAAGAAAAAAGAAGAAAAACAAAAACAGCAAAAAATGTAAAAAAGAAAAAAGCAATGAAAACTAAAGATATAAAGGACTGAAAAAAGAGAAAAATGGGAATAAAAGAAAATAGGAAAAGATGGAGATATGAAGAAACATAAAGGAAAAAAGGCAAAGACAAAGGAAGATGGAATGAAATGAAAAAATGAAAAGAAAGGATAAAACAAAACAAAAATAGGGAAAGAGAGGAAGAGAGAAAGAAATAARGAAAAAGAGAAGGAAAAAGAAAGGAATTAGTTATTTTATTTTTAGCTATTTAAAAATATAAAAAAAGTTATTAAGGAAAGAAAATATGCTATAGGCTTATTGTCAAAAGAACACATTTATTATTATGATTACTATAATAATACAAATAATYCCTAAATGTAACATGATGCTTATATAATATACATACTGGCACGAATATCTGGACATAGTATTCCTCTTCAAAGTCATTCACRGCCATGCTTTGCTGAATAACAGCATCAAACCTACAGAACGCCGAATAAAACAGTACACCCGTAGCAACACAGCACCTGAAGACATCATCACCGGCCCTAGATATCCCTCCACATAGATCCCTGACCTACCAAAATAGCTATTTCATACGGTCTGCACGAATCTGGAACATCCTACCTACTGAACTAAGAAAAAGAACACTCACTCTGTCTAAATTCAAAACCTGTCTCTTTTCTCACTGAAAGTCTGCTATCCTGTCACTCTACGATCCTGAAGACTCGCGGAAGTGGAAATCTGTGTGTGTCATATGCCATCAAACAATAACAATGAAAGGAATTTGAAATGCTGTTTTTAACTAAACATATGAACGATTCTGAATATGCCAATATATGAGAGACACTCTCTTCTATCATGTCTGTAACTATGTAGCTTGTCTTATTTAGCTTTTTTAGTCTCTAGGATCGTGTTAGTTCAGTTAATGATTCTATCATTTAGTTTGTCAGYTTAGTTAAAGGGAAGATTTAATTTATTATTTAAATAATCTTATAGATCGTATAGATTAAGGATTAATTTAAGTCGTTTAGTTGACTTTAAGGATCAAATAGAAAAGTTAATTGAAAGGTCTTGCTCAGTATAGACCATTTGTTTCTCTTTCTTGGCTTTAGTTACAAGGATCCATTTAGTTTAGCTTGGAGAATTATTAGGTTAAGCCTTAAGGACCGATTTAGGTCAGTTTAGTTCATTTAGTTCATTTATTCATGYCGTTTAGTTGATAGGATCTATTGTAATTGGGGAAAACCTGTAGTAGATTCCTAGCCTCTCTTATTTGATCTCTTATTATTCAGCGATACATTTTGTAGTCTTTTTTCTTTAACCCACTAGATATTGAAAACCTAAGAGTTGGCTATAAGCAAAATAAAATAAGAGAAATACTTGATGAAATACTTTTTTTTTGAGGGTGAATAGGCCATGATTTTCTATTATTAACCGATGCTTTATAACATAAAGCTACAGCAATACAATAACATTGTTCTCAACCAGACAAGAAATCAAAAATAAAACAAAAAAATAAAAACAAGATCAATTTAATGGTTTTGATAAATCTTCCTTTTGAGAATAATGTAGTTTCCTGTGATGTCTTGAGACTTTTGACCTGAATACTTTGCCACATTTTTGACAGCAAGCATGTCTGGATATTTTTATATGTTCTGTTAAACCATCTTGTCCTTGACACTTCACTCTACACTCAGAAACAGGACAGACAATGACATCCACCTYTGCACTCTCTTCTGACTGTTTAGATGTACCAGAGTAGCCAGAACTTGAAGCACCAGCATGAAGAGTCTTGCCCAACAAGCCTCCTTCCAGTTGGTTGACAAATTGATCAGAATTTGGTTGTTCATTTGATAACTGGCTGTTTGGATTGTTTCCAGCTGATGAAACTTTGACCCGCATTGCATTGAAGAGTACACATCTTATCTTATGCCTGTAAAGCTTGCCTTTGGTTGGTAAAGTTTCACTGCACCCTTGACAAGTGTGAGATTTTATGGAAATCTCAGGTTTATCAACTCCTATATGTATCACTTGGGGTTTAGAATCATCTTCATTTTTTTTGGCCAGTTGGTCCTTCAGCTTAATGTAGAGCTTCARACTTATCCAAGCATCAAGTGCTGCATAAGTGATTTGATCTCTCCTTAAAGGAAAAGCTTCCCAATTACTTAAGCTTATTCGTTTTGGTTTGTTTAAGTCAATATCAAGAACTTTTTTGGAAAGTCTTTTCAGTCCAGTACCTTGATCTATTCCAAGAGCTTTTGCATAATCTTGGGTATCCACTCTTCCATCACATAACATTCCAGTGTCTTTGATTAGTTTTATAACATCGCCCTTAATGCCACTCCCTACTTTCAATACATTTCTATCTGCCAACACTTCAGAGAGGGATTTTGGGAATGATTTCATGTGAAATAGATGAAGCACAAGAACTGAATCTTCGACAGCCAGCTGAAGAACAGCAGTCTTGTTTTCTGTGCCTCCGTTTTTCTTTGAAATAAACTGAGGTCTCCATTCAATGTCCAAGCCTAAAGCATTAGCTTCAGCATCAATAACATTGTTTTTTAGCCAAGACTCGGCATCAGCTGGGTCATTACTGTATACCACATTAACGCCTTCTGCAGGATAAGGTAAAGTATYTACATTGGYCAATGGTCTTCTCCACAAAAAAACWTTTCTAGGACCATTATCTTTCCTTTGCTTACTATAATGATTACTATCTTGTGTGTTTCCAGCAATATCTGGCATCTTGGACATCCTTTCTTTCATAGCCATTCTAATTTTTTTCTCTGGTCTGTTACGAAGTTCTTGGATCTTGAAAAAATGGCTGTTTTTGCGTGGACCACGTCGAGTGACAGGTTGTCTTGGTATATTATCATTATGCACGTGTTGTTGTGGGTCTTTGTCCAAGAGACCTTGTTGGTCGTCATTTCTATCACAATTATCATCATATTCATTCCTTTTTTCCTTAGTTTGATGGTCCATTTTTAACTCAACACAACGTACTCAAGTGAATGCGATAACTAAAGATGGCGTCAGGCACAATATTCCCAGGCGTTACTAGTTGTATGAACGTGAAGGACTGAGTACGAGTGCTGAGTCACTTAGGCGCACGGCCTTGTGGGTAATTCAATCCAAGATGTCGGAAAGATACAGCTTTAGTTTGACAACCTTCAGGTAAAATACACTCATTTTATCATTATTTTGCTATATTAGACATCCTTTTAGACCGATATTTACCCCAGCAAGGCATATTCGCCTGCTATTTGTATTATTTAATACTGGAAATTGTTTTTCTAGGATGTTTTCTAAGCTTTAAAATCCAAGGTTTTTGTGTAAACCGGTTTTTCATGTGGACCCATGCTTTTTTTCATTCCCTTACCGCTCAAAATTGTTGACATCAGTTTATTCATTTTTTTAGACTTTAGCTTAATTCTTTTTTTTACTTTCTTTTTGAGGTCATTGGGAGTAGTGGTAGTTATTTATTTGTTAGGACTCCCACCATGATTGKCCATGAGGCAGGGCCAGGCTGTACGAAGCCTGGATAGCGCTATCCAACAGATAAATCTTATCCAGGCTTCGTACAACCGGGCCCAGAAGGTCAAATGGTCTATTGACTCGTAGACCATGATGGCAAGAGGTCTAAACCTGATTATCAGTGAAATAAATTGATACAAACAAGGGAAAAGCGATTTATCCACAAGGGCACTTTTCTCTAYATAGTGTTCTATCACTAATAGACCACTAATAGTTCAGCCAATCAAAGTGCAGGATTTGATATAGACCATAAGTTTGTACTAATTGATTTTATATATAGTCCTTCAGGTAAGCTAGTGCAGATAGAGTATGCATTGGCCGCCGTGGCTGCTGGGGGTCCATCAGTTGGAATTAAAGGTAATAATTGGGTGGTATATTTTCCACAGGTACATCTATCTTACCCTCCCACTCCTCATATCCATGAAGTATGTAGTCCTGGGGTATCTGACAGGACACACATATTCACCTAGCACAGAAAGTACAGAATTATTATTTTGTAAAGTTGGATTTTAAGCATGATTTTCCCCCCAATGTGTCATTGATATTCAATTTTTCTGAATATGATGATATAGGTTAACAATCCACTAAATAGTCATCTATTCATTTTAGCATCTAATGGTGTGGTATTAGCTGCAGAAAAGAAACAGAAATCTATACTTTATGATGATACTACAATCCATAAGGTATGTTGTTTAACCTGAGTTATGGTCATTCATCAGTCTCATAAGATGTCTGCCTCTCACTCCCCCATCCATGATATCAGTGAAAGCAAATGAAGACCCTTGTTCTTTAGGGTAAATCCTCACTTATCCTTTGAGAGGTATACCCTCGTAACATATATTTTCTCCCCTATGCTACAAGGGTTTTCTCCGTGTTCTCTGGTTTCTTCCCTCAATTCAAATCAATGTGTGGGTTGATCATTGTGTACATAGAATATTGAATGTCATGGTAGTGTGCGAGTGAAAAGTGTCCCCAATTAGTATAAAGCTCTAGAATGACTAGACACTTAAATAAAGATATTCCTTTATTCCTCTGATATTCATTATCACTTAGCAGTAGTTCATTTATGGGATCAGATTCAGGACTGTTATGATATGAGATTATACATTTTGTATAATTCCAATATTTGTTGTAATATTATAGGTGGAGATGATAACTAAAAATATTGGAATGATTTACAGTGGGATGGGACCAGACTACAGGTAAGGTAGTGTTAACTCATAGGTCTGACCTATCTATCTGCATAAGTGATGTAACCTGGTATTGATATTAATTTGTTTTCAGAGTATTAGTTCGCCGTGCCAGAAAGATTGCACAAGAGTACTATCTAATGTATAAAGAGCATATTCCCACAGCACAGCTTGTCCAGAGATTAGCTTCAGTCATGCAAGAATACACACAGTCTGGGTATGTTGATCAGTACTCATGATCATAACCATCATGTTTCTTAGACACTCCAAAAGCAAGTTGTTGAGTTTTCATTAAACTTGTAGTGATATTGGGTTTTAATCAATTTGGAAGTTGCTACAGCCTGTAACCTTGGTGGTAGCATGYATCCTAATACCAGTATGTTTAATATCTTATTAGTGGAGTAAGACCATTTGGAGTGTCTCTTCTTGTTGCTGGTTGGGATGATGATAGGCCATATCTGTTTCAATGTGATCCTTCTGTAAGTACAACGGCTTAGTAACATAGTAATCTGTTTATTGCATGAAGGTCTACATGTAGTTATACCTCAGTTCATTGAGTAAGTATTTTCTAATATTTAATATTTTGTCTTTAACAAGGGAGCATATTTTGCTTGGAAGGCCACTGCTATGGGAAAAAACTATGTGAATGGAAAAACATTTTTAGAAAAAAGGTAAGTGTTAGTATGCAATGCTTTTGTAGTTTTTATTTGTATTGTTGGTCTGATATATTGATTTTTTTTGGTTGAAGGTACAATGAGGATCTAGAGCTTGAAGATGCTATCCACACTGCTATATTAACACTTAAAGTAAGCACTGATATCTAACACAGCACAAAACTGATGGCTGAAAGAGTTGGGGATTGAGCATATGAAGTCAACAGTGCTATTCTAAAAGATGTGGGGAGTGATTGCCAGGTCAAATTCGAATTTAGGTGTTGATTTTTGCAGGGGGGAGGGGAGGAGGGCTGGAGAACCCCGACAAAACCCTTTGAAGGACAAGAGAGAACCAAAAAGCATCATTACCACACCAAGCCTGGGAATCGATCCTGGGTTGCATTTGTGATAGGCAGTGCACACTACCAGTGCTTGGACACCAATAAATAGAAGTACATATGTAGAACACATTAGTTAAAGACATTTTCCTGTTTCATTGAGCATTTTTGTTTGTATATAACTGGATTTTGCAGTACAATATAGTATATCAGTTGAGAAAACTGTTTTTCTAATGTTAAGAGGACATTTTATTCCAGACCAGTACTACTAAATTCTTAATTTTTTCTTATTCAATATATTTTTCAGGAAAGTTTTGAGGGTCAAATGACRGAAGACAACATTGAACTTGGTGTGTGTAATGAAAATGGCTTCCGTCGCCTGGCTCCTGCTGAAGTCAAGGACTACCTTGCTGCGATCATCTCTTAATGTTTCCCTATTTATAGTATGAGATACCAGTATTACATAAACTCACCTAGTTGTTATACATCTTTAGGTACACGTACTTGATACACCTAAATCTCCTGACAACATTGCTTATACAATAGTTTTAATCTGGAGCAGTGTTCCCTGTTTCATGTCATTCTCATGAGATTGTTTGTTAACCAGTAAAAACTGTCAAGAGACTTCAGTAAGAATGAGACTTCGATGAAGAATATTATTTTCAAGTGTCACATGGTATAAAACATGAAACCATTATGTCAAGTTGGCATTGCAGTGTATTGTGGGACTGTTTGAAGGGGCAAAATATTCTCCCTAAACCAGTCCCACATGCCAACTCAACCTTGGAGTGGCTAATTTGCCAACAGGTTGTACCATGTAGATAGCACTACTATATTTCAGTTTTACCATTGTATGTCCTTTTTCTAGTTTAATAGCTTGTGGTTTATATTTTTCAAGATGTTATTGCTATGACCACATTTTGTGTATTGTATTAACAGTGTCCATGGTTCAAAATCCATATAGTCAGATCATCCTACTATAATGTATAACAAGCAGGTCCATATCCAGGAAGTTAATGAAATAAAACTACTCTTACTACCATGTTGTATGTTGTGTCCCTTGGCTATTTAGGCAAAACTATGGAGAAGAATGACATTTTATTGCAAAGCAGTAGGAACCTTCATAAAAAGGATAGTACAAATGTCTCCTAAGATTAAAAGATTTGAAAACGAAATTTATAGGCAGTACGGGTTGGTTTGATACCATTGTTAATTTATGAAATGTAAATTATTCTCCAGGAAAGTTACAGCAATGAATTTTATTTAATTCCACATGATACATGCATGTTTATTGCATGATAGTTCCAACAGTATTCTCACATGCATATAATAAYGTTAATTGATTCAAGGTGTAACACGTTTAGGATCACGTGGGAACATGGATGATTTCCTGATATTGTGCAGATCCAGGTACAACATCACCACTCTTGCAAGACCTACATAATAAAATATTGCAGGTCAATACTTAATTCTGTCTGACAAAGTAGAACAAACAAGATATAATTATCTTTATTTTGTGTATCTTTACTAGCAAAACCACAAAACAATTAAATATTCTACCAGGAATGCATTATGCTCATGTTAAATGCAGTCTCTATTTTCATCTAGAAATGCATATCATAAAATAACTGTCATAAATCTTACATTTTGATTGGTTGAGAGGGCGTGCTTTATTAGAGCACAGAGCATGTGCGCGCAATTTTAGTTGCATCATTCCTAACAAAAACATCGGTAAAAACGTGTCGTGCTTCTCCAAACACTTATCTCGTGTTCTGTCAACCCTCGCATGCTTTATTACTGCACACAGCATGCATGTGCATTTTCTATTTCTTCATTTGAATACTCCTAACTTTGAATAACTTAGTTTTTCAATACTCACCAATTCCACCACCTGCATGTGGAGGTGCACCATAACGGAACGAATCAATGTAGGACTTTATCTGTTCTAAATCTGTATAAGACATACAAACCAGATGAGTACTTGATACTGAATTGACAAGTGAAGATGATCAACCATGTACTTACCAATACCATGGTGTTTGGCTCTCTCTGTCAGTAAATCAGGGTTGTGTATTCGCTGAGCACCAGACAGTACCTCTTCCCCCCTCATGAACATGTCATAAGAATTACTCAACACCTGGAAGTGTTTTTTAAAACATATAAATACAATATTAAGGCTTGAAAAACTAATGGCAAATATCAATACAAACTTAAATGAAAGGCTTAAGGGTCTGTTCATTATATTGGGGTGGAGAATTGGGCTACCCAAATTCTTATAAATTACCACACATCCTCAGAGACACCCCTGAAGGTTAATGGGAAAGATTGGGATTTTAAAATTAAAACACTGAAACTTTCATAAATTGGGCCCTTCATTTTTTCAGATTGCATATTGGGGTATTGAAAAAAAATCAAAATTTACTGCTTCCTCATAAATCTACCCACTTTCATCCGCCCTGGCCAATATCACTAAGCAGTACTGCAAAATAGCATTATGATTATCACCTAGTACACTTTTGCACAAAGTAACAATATAAAGTCATACTTACTGGATTCCGTGCATCAGGCATAGTGTAGAATGGACGGACGCATAGTGGATATTTGTCCAGAATGAAGAAGTCAGTGTCATACTTTTGTTTTACTAGTTTACCCAACAGCTTCTCATTTGGAGTGCTATAAAGTAGTGGCCATAGTAATATATTATAATAGTTAGCACTTGTATTAAACAAGGTATGTCACATTGCTACTTCTTAAAGTGCGTGTCACACTTCTTTTTTATATTAAAATGCTTTAAAAATAGTATCAGAATCAAAAAATTCTTCCGACAAGTCTCTTTGAATGACTTAAATTTGAGATATAAAAAGTATGATAGACACTACACAAGTACATTTAGTTAATAGGTTGCCTTTTAGCCTTACCTGAGATCTTCATCATAATCCATTTCTATACCTGCAGCTTTTAGCATATCCACTCCTTCATGATACTCCAGAATTAAGCTGTAATTATAGTTTACAACATTACATCGTTTGAAATATTAGATGAGTACTGTTACAGTACATAAAATAATAAAGAACTTGAAGTGCAAGGTCATTTTAAGATGAATTCCAAATTCAAAGCCACTTTTATTTCAAACATAGAGCTTTTTGCTGAAAAATCTCCTTGTTGGATTAGTTATATGGATCACATTTTCCACATTTTCCATATTTAGGAATGGGACCATGATTTATGTAATGTCAAATTATCATACAATTTTACATACCTTGGTTCAAGGAACTTGAATGGCTCACTGGGGTACTGTTTTCTCACTTTTTCAATGTCATCTGCAAATCTGGTGTTCAATGCAAAGTCAGGTAATAATTATAATATATTATAGAACATATATCACCTAGTCACCRTAACTATGGTTGGGGTGAAAAGACTAAACCAACCTGCGCATGGAATACAGTCTCTATAAACTTTCTCACCTTGTTTGAAGACCTTTAAAAATATAGTTGAACATTTCTCCAATGGTTCTGACCACCTGAAAGAATAATTTGCAAATTAATGTTACTAGTATGTGTGGTGTATTTTCTAAATAATAATCAACTACACTAAACCATGTGCTTTGATGCTCGTCTCTTTATTACACACATGCGCACTCGCACGCTTGCAAACCTAACAGTGGTGGGGTGGGTAAATCCACCAACACTACATCTCTCCCTTTTTTTTAAAACATGAGTTCACACATGGTTGAGCAAAACAACAATAAACTAAGATG